CGTGCTGATTAAGTGACATGGAATTTTCTTGCTTTATGTTCTGAATTTAAAGTAATAGTTTGTTTTATACAGAACTGACTTCTTAAAGTCTCAATAAACAATAAACTCTTCTTTATTGTCTTTATTATGAGATGGCTAGCAGTCCCAGTGGAGAAGAGAAAACAGGCCAAATCCTGTATTGAGGGAAAAAGTTATAATTGCCTTCTTTCTGCTTGCCACCTTTCCCCACATCTCAGCAGGGACACAGTTATGTTATGTTATGTGATGTTATGTTATGTGATGTGCGAAGTTGTGCCCGACCCATCACAACCCCATGGACAACACTCCTCCAGACAGGGACACAGTACACCCTCCAATTTTTATATTAGTGTAAGACCTGACAAAGGAGATGCGAGCAAACTTGACTAGAGGTCGGGGGATAATTTTCAAGGTGAAAAGGTTCTTCTCTGTTGCCAAAGGGAAAAGGAAAGGTGTATTGTAAAGGGGAGCTTTATTGACTGTAAGGAGGGATAAGAATGCTCTAAAAGAATGAATGGTTGAATATCTATAGGGCTCTGTACTTCTGTTTGGGAAGTCTTTCTGAGATTAGAAGCTCTAAATAGTTATTTGTGTCCTTTCAGAAGGCATCTGTAGGTAGAAAGGTGTCACAGAGGACCTCCACAATGTGGTGTGGTTGTTACAGCTCATTTTGTTAAAGGATCAGCTGCATTAGCACTTGGGAGTGAATCTCCTTTGGAAGAAGTTTGTTGAGCTGTTTTGTGGGATTCTGCCCATAATTTTATCAGGCAATACCAGATAAGCAAGTAATTCTCAGAAAATGTTGTGAATTAAGATTTTGGAACCACTTAGATACTCATCAAGGAATAATATAGGTTTGTAGGAAAGTCTGAGTATTTCATTCAGTCTGCATTTTATGTTGAACCATTATAACCCATCCTTTCTGGACAAATGCACATATGCCTTCACTATGTCTGGTTGTTGTAGGAAGGAAAACCTGACGGCTTGTTATTACTGTATTTCTATCCTGTACTGCAATTTCTCTTCATCCTCCTTTTTTGTGGTCTTCAACCTTCCTGCTCCGCCTATCCTGCCTGTTCTGCTGATGTTTTCTCTATGTTAATGTTGGTTTATTATAGTAATGAGTTAGAGATCCTTCTGCTTCTCTAGTTCTGCTCTAAGAAGACAGAGACACTCCCTGACCAGACAATGCAATTTATTGACCCTGCCTACTGAGTAAAGAGGACAGATTATCCCAAAGAATGACATCTTAGACTGTTGTCTGGGAGTCCTGGAGAATAGGAATTCCCAGCAAGAATTTCCCTTTTTGTGTTGTGGGTTGAAAGTGATTCATAAGTCCCTTGTTGTAACGCCCATTTCCTTTTTGGCCCTTATCGTCTCTTCTGGCAGTGGCAGAAAAAGGATAAGCTGCACTTGGAATAGCATTAAATAGAAAATAGGCAGCGGAGAACAAAAGGTGCTGTCAACTGTTCTCCCTCCTGACCAGTTCTCAGTTTAAGAAGCAGTAACTCCTTGGTTGCAGCTGAAATCCTCTGAGGAGGTAGCTGCATGGTATATATTTTTCATACTATGACACTTAGTGCATTACATAGAGCACAGTTTTTAACCACCTGTACAGTTTTATGATGGCAGTTCTTGCTGAGCAACATATGCAGCATCATATCAAAATCAGATATATTTAAAAGAAGTGAGGGAACTAATTGTCTAGAAATTTAATTTTTGAGACCTTAAAAAACAACTTTTCAGGCTACTACAAGAGAACATGAGATTCTAAACCATATATTTCTTTGCCGTGTGTGTGTGTAGTTTAGATCATCAATTGATCTGAAATCTTTTGCCCATTGGGGAAGTTAGTGTTTTACCTACTAGTGTTAATAAGACTATGTTTTGGTAAATCAGATCCCAGTCCTGTTCTGGTCAGGGCACTATTGGAGCACAAAGAGACTTGACTGGTACTTCTAGCAGCCAGCTCCTACAAGCTGCAGCCAAGTTCAGTGGCTTGTTCACTCTCTGCATTTATCCGGATTGGGGTGAAAATAGGTGGGAGGAAGGAGTCCAACTTTGCCAGTGCTTCCTGAATCTAGCTGCTGCAAGCCCCAACCAAGCTTCTTCCTATACATTTCTAGAACAATTCCTTATTTGTTATAGTAAAATATCAGACCTAGAGGTCCTGCATTCTATTACTATCCTCTCTTAAAAACATATTTTCAATCCTTTCTGTTTTCAAAAAGTCTTATCATTATCAGTCCAAGTGAGTCTTCAAGGCCAGCTTGTGCACACACTGCCTGTCACCCTTGTGCGCACTGTGCAAGTGGAGTTTTGCTTCCGTACAAATGGCTCGTTGGCTTTGTGTACCTTGCACAAAGAGGTCTGCTAGTGTTCCTCAACATTCATGGACCTGATCTCGGCTAAGCTAATTTCTTGGCCAGGGTCATGCATTGGAAAGAAGTCTGGCAAGCAAAAGAAGAAAAAGCTTGTATAAAATATCATTATGAATTATGTTGAATATTTGATCAGCTCTTTCCATTTTCTCATTTGTGAGTAGCTACATTTAGCATCCTGTGTTAACAATTTTAAATTGGCAATGCATTATAAGCAAATAATAGTATGTTAGATTGCATTAATGTAGAATAACTCATCAGGACTAGATTAGAGCTGTATGGGTGTTGTTAAACCTAGGTTGTCAGATGTCTTTCATCCCATCATCTGCTCTGTAATGGAAGCATTTGGATTTTTGTATAATAATGCATAGGTCAATGGAATCTTCAGAATTTGGAAAAAGCCAGTCTGCTGCAGAATTGGCAAGTTGAGGTTGTGAATTGTGCAACATCCCTAGGTAGAACGTTCTCAGAATAGTATAGGAGTGAATCATCACTTCTCTGTACTTAAGGCTTTCTCACTCTGTAGCCTTACTCAGTCTTCACTTCTTTTGCAACAATCAGCACTGCTACACCTATGAGATACTGTGATGCAGTTTATTTATTTATTCATTTTCTTTATTTTTATAGGCCCTTCTATAGCAATGCTCTCAGAATGGTTTACAGCATAAACATAATCACAATAGCAAATCCACAGTGATTGTAACATTTCAAGAATAGCAAAATCAGTAAAAAATGATGATAATGTAGTAGATATTGATCTACAGCAACCAATCAAGCCTTATCTAACTAAAAATAAATATATCTTGATCAGGTTTCCTAGATGCACATAGTAAATGGGGGGCAGGTTGGGTGCAGTGAGGGAATTACAGCAGTGTATCACTCATCACATTGGTTGTTGGGAATTTCTTATTTGTAATGGTACCTTCACCCATCTCAGAGTGGCTCAAATTACTCTCCATTTATGGGCCAGTGAAAAATAGGTATGTCTGATTTTTTTTCCTCCAATTAATGCTAGTCTGCATGTTGCATTATTTGCACAATTCAGAGTTCTTAGTTGTCTTTGTGATAGCTGAAAAGCACAATTTTAGGTTCCCCCACCAATTCTTTGTCATCCTAGGGAGACTGGGTTTGCCTTTGCATTCAGTAGTGGGGCCTGCCAAGCCAAAATTAATGCTTGTAGCAGTCAGAAAACACTGCAGCTGTGTTCATAGCTGAAGACTGTTTTTGTTTTGTTATATTTTCTTTAGAAGGTCACAAGTTTGCAGAAGAGTTTGCTTACGGGAAATTCAGTAGGCTGGTTAACTCTTTGTTTGCTTGATAGAGGGTATCAGAACCTAGGGAACAGAAAATTGAAGAGGGGTTCATGCTCTTGAATACAGTTCCTCCACTGGGGAGTCAGAGGTGCTGAGTCACAAATTTATCCTCTACTTAAATAAATACTACCTTTCTATAGAAAAAAAAAATATAAATCTTCCTTGTTGCAGAGTATTCCTCCATAAGGGAAGGACACTTATTTAACTTACTGGTGGGGTCAATATAAAATTGAAAAACATTTGTGAGATATTTTGAGCTTGCTGCAGAAAAGGGTCGCATATGTGACTTATTTCTTATGAACAGTCAGTGGTTTGTCTATCATGTATATTCCAGCTCATGTCACAAGAATTTCAGTGGAATATATTCTCCTTTACCCAATGGTTTTTTTTTTTTTTTGTTATCATGTGGTTTATTTATTAATGTCACCTAATCATTTAGCTTCTGATTTTTATTATTAATAAACTTGCCTTACTTAAGGTTGATTCACTTAACATTTTATATATTTAGGGTCTTTGTCCCCACACTTCTTGTAACCTAACATTTTCCTCTGATACTTGTTTATCCTAACCCTCCTTACTTCCAATGACATCTCAGCTTGACTTTCTTCAACTCCTTATAATTCCTGTACCCTTTGATTGACTCACTTCCTGTTTGCATTTTCATTTTTAACAGTATCTCACTTTCATTCAGGTTAAGGAATGATGTTAACATATTTCTTCCATTGTTTTATGCCACTTCTGTGTTACAACCTATCATCTAACAAATATGTTTATTCTAATTTTGACTTCGTGCCAAATTCTGAGGAATCATCTTGCACTCTGGCTGGCTCTTTGGGGGAAGCAATAATAACAAACATAGCCGTGTTTAGACATTGTTGGGCTGAAAGTAAATGAGTCTTTCATTTCTTAAAGGAGGAGGGGGATGCTCAAGAATCAGCTTTTTGTCTATTATAGCATGTCTTAGAATGCCAGCAAAGGCCCAGATTCCAACATCTAACGTGCACGCACGCACGCGCGTACGCACACACACACACACACAGAGAGAGAGAGAGAGAGAGAGAGAGAGAGAGAGAGAGAGAGAGAGAGAGACTGATGTCTGTTTTTAAAAGATGATATTTTATTAGTTTACAATACCATGTTTAAAATGTGTTGTATGAAAAGTGGGGATAGAGAATAATTTTATTGTTTAAATGAAAATCGTCTTCTGTTTTTCTGTTTTCTTCTTCTTCTTTATTACCTTCTCTGATAATCTTATCTGTAAATGCTATGTCTTCATTGCATCTGTTAGGTCTAGTTCATCACATCTGTAACTTGCTAATAGAAACTGCAGCTCTGTGCTTGGATGCAGATGATAAGAGCAACATCAAGACAGCAAATGCATTGCTCCTCTCCTTGCTTGATATTTTGCACCACATGCTGCTATATACAGCTAACATTGTCCGCCTGACACTACAGGTACAGTCTGTTTTCTGGTAGAATGAATGTTATTATGCAGATTGGTAATCTCTTTCTGTTTACTGTTGCTAGATTTCCTACTACAAACTCAAATGAAATTGAATTGATTTATTTAACAAGTGAATTTCTACAAAGTTTTCACAGACAATGGCTCATTGGCTAAAACATAGCTAAAAGTTTTATAGTTCAGGTATTAAATATCTATAGTAGATATCCTTGATGTTTACTAGCTTCTTATATTATTCATTTGTAGAACTTTTCCATACCACTTTTCAACTGAAAAAAGTTTTCAAAAATATTTGAATTCTCATATATTTTGCATGCATCGTAAGGAGGTATCAAGTATGTGTCTGAGATTTTGCAGATTCTTAATAAATGTGTTCTTTCACATCTTTCTTTTAAATTACATAGTCATGTTCAGGTTTAATTTCTGTAACATTTCCAAATAATGATATTGAATGAGGATGTATAGGATCAGGCATATTCTCTCATTATGGTCTATGCAAAGCAAAATGCTTTAAACATATGCTAGGCCAATTGTTGTGAGAATGTATTAGTAGTTTATTTATTTATTATATTTATATCCCACCTTTTTCCTTTCAATTAAGGAAATTAAGATGGCTTACATAATTCTGTCAATGCTATCTTAAAAAAAAAAACAAAAAACCAACCCTGTGAGGTAGGCTGGACTGAGACGCCATGACTGACCCAAAGTCACCCAGTTAGCTCCATGTCTGAACAGAAACAAGAACCCAGATCGCCTGAGTCCCAGTCGTATGCTCTTAACCACTGCACCAAACTGGATCTGTTTATATTCTCAAACCAGTTGCATTGGTAGAGGATGTTCTTATGAACTTGATTTTCTTCTATTATTTTTTTTTCTGCAAGAGATAATATTTTAATATTCTTCAAAGGAACTGTTCCTGACTCTGCAAAGATCATTTTTCCCTGAGAATGTTCTTTATTTTTTTCATGAAGGCACAGAAGTCTGGCACTGGAGGGGAGACTCAGACTGCTGAAGACCTTCTGCTTATTAATAAACCCATAACAGATCTAATTAGCATCCTTATTCAGCTGGTAAGAGCATCCTTGTTTGTAAATCTATTGGAAATATTTAAATGTTTAGCTTACCTGTCTCAAAGGTTCAGGGCAAATTACTTAGAAGTGAAATATATTTCTTTTTTAAAAAATAAATGAAATACTGAAAAGCAAGGTTAAAATAACCAGCAAGTTATGATGGTGGTGGCATTATATGAGGCCACCATGCCAGTTCCTGACCTTTTTGCATTTATACTATAATACATTTATTCCAGTTCTCTTGGCAACCAGGAGTCCATTCCCTTCCAAAAGCCACCCCTTTGTTTCAGCTTCTGCCTTTTACTCTCAAACTAGTATGGTCACGAACTTAAGTAGAGTTTGTGGGCTGAATTCTGCCTGTAACCTCCCTTTGCAAATTATTTTCTTTGTTCCCATTTAACCATATTTAAGCAAATTGCCTGAGTAACATACAAACTGAGGTCACTCTGAACCTTCATGTTTAAAAACTTGACATGACTATGGGAATCTACTGGTAAACACCAGTTCGTATCAGCCATGAGATGCTATTTATCAACCAAGGCTAGTCTGTTTATATATTCTTTTTATTTGTATTAAAACTGATAATTAATTTTAAGCTAGAAGCAATACTTGGTCTATATTTAGCCAAATTCGTCATATTAAATAATGCAAAGTATCCTTGACATATTTCTGATAAAAGTAGCCAAAAATCAGAGATAAGTTGTATCGTTAAATCGTTCAGCTAAAACATTCAGTGCAAATGTTTGCCCCTATATACTTGCATGTTTTATTGACTTAAATTTTAAATGACTTAAACAATATTGATTAGACTTCTGCTAAAGGGTGCTCTGAAATTAGTAAGAGTAATCATTAAAGCCCTTTGTTTCATATTCTGCAATACGCTCTTCTATTGGATAGGTGACCTTGAACCATTCTTTTATTTGTGTTTACCCACTGTAATTATTTATAGGAAACTATAATCTATTATTTATAGATTATATTCACAGAGTCAGTTTTACCAACTTGTCCATATTTAGGTTTTCATAGTTCTTCATGTCAGTTTCATCAATTGAAAGGGAAATTTGGCTGCAAAAAACTTCATACAAATCTAGGAACTGCAGAAATTGCATACCATTCAGGAAGTGGAGGAGAAACATAGATGCTGTGGATGAAGGAATAATGGCTATAAAATTGAATGGGAAGAGGTATTGAGGAAGTAAGATGCTAGAAAGATTGGGAAGCAGACTTAAACTGTTTTTATTATAAGTGAAGTGGAAAAAATAGCATGCTTAATAATACTGATGAAAAGTTGCTTTTACATTTTTCTAATATTTTTGAATGATATTGTCCATCACTCTCAGCAGCCCATCCATCACAGCTTGTTCTAACATATTTCTGATGTAACAAAAAATCTTTCTCACCATAATAAGCTCTCTTTGTGTATAACCTTATTAATGTGCTGAAATAGACTTCCCTGTGGGTATTAGATGTGCTAGCAACTCTGTTGGTTATAAAACTGCTATTTCAGCTCAAATAGTTATAGACATTTCTTGCAATGGTTTGCAATTCACAAATGCAATGTAACTGAGTCCAAAAGTAAGTGCTCTTACTCACTTTAATCTATGCATATATTATACCAAAACATGTTCCTACTAAATGCTTTTTTAGAAAACCTGTTGAGAATATGAAATGTTTTACACTGATTTCCTACAAAATTGAGGAGATATAAGATTTAAAAATGACCACCAGAATTGTTATTTTCCTCTCGGTTCTGCTCATTTGCACATTTCTGATCTGAACCAGACCATGTTTATCAGGAGTAAGCTTTTCAAATTGTAAATTACCTTAGTTTACAAGTACACTTGGTTTGGAACAGGTTCTCATTTAAAAACCATCTTAATACTTTTCTGTTTTTCAAGATTATTAGACTACTATTTTTCCTTCACATACCTTTCCTCCTACTCCCCTACCCAACCCCTTTAATTCAATTTTGGAATGTCTCACTTTTATATCATTTGTATGTGAGTAGACCGATCGGTTAAGCAGCAGTGGGTATGTGCTAAAAAGAAATGACATTCTGTATCAAAGTAAATCTGTGGCAAGAAAAATTAAATTCTGCAACTTATAGAAATCCTGAAAATACCATACAAATGTATGTTTTCAAAAACTATGGGAATTACACGGCATACACTTACAAAAATGCTATGGTTCTATACTCTCATTCTGAAACAGACTTTCCCCGATCCAGTTTCCAGGTATGTTGAACTGCAACTCTCATCATCTTCAGACTATTGTCATGCTTGTTGGGAATGATAAAAGTTGTAATATCTGGACAGCACTGGGCTGGGGAATATTAGAACATTCTAAAACATTAGTAGTCTCATTCTAAAACAATGGGGCTTATCATATGATATGATTGCCACCATTTGAACATACAACCCATCCTTGTGGATTGTGCCATGCAAACTTAGTGAGTATGAGTTGACTGTTAAACAGTAACCTGTGATCTGTTTTAAGGTTATGTGAGGGTTGTATCTCCAAGTTCAGTTTTGTAGTCTTGGGGGTACTCCCAAGTGTCTCTTACCAAGTTCAACTGGTTCTTCAGTTACAGCTTCTCCCAGAAAGGGATAGCTTGGCCACAATGGTACAAACACTAGTAACTTTAGAACTGTATTACTTTAATGCACTTTACATGAGGTTGCCCTGAAGGTTGGCTCAGAAGCTAGTATAGAATGTAGCAACTTGTTAGGAGCATACCTTTTTCAGGAGCTGAGGGAACTGCACTGCCTGCCAGCTTGCTACTGGGCTGGGTTTAATTTATAAAGTGCTAAATAACTTGGGACCAGGTTAGGGTTAGGTAGCACCTTTTGCCTTACCAACCTTCTTAGTAACTGAGGTCATTGAATGGCATGCTCCTAGTGGTTCCTCAAGGACCTGTGAATCAGTTGGCGTATACCTGGAGAGAAGATAGCTTCATAACTTTGGAACTCCCTGCCTCTGGATGTCAGGCAAGCATCAATATGATACCGTTTTCAGCACCTCTTGAAAATATATTTATTTTAGTAAGCCTTCCTTGACAGACCAATCATAGTTTTTAATTATCTATTTTAACATATTGTTCTATTCTTTTTATCTGTTCTTCTCTTTCTGTTGTTGCTGTAAATACTTAAATAAATAACCTATGCTTGCTGAGTTTGCACAGTATGAGAACTTCTAAGTGGACAGTGCCTATGGAATATGATGCCTGCAAGCACTGTACCTCATCATGGGTTCAATAACTCACAATGTGCCAGTTAAGCAAGTTTTATAAAAATAGTCTCTATGGAATATTTTCAGAGCTAAAAGTGAAACTGGAATTCCCTGCCCCTTCCATTTCACAGCAGTTCCTCCACTCCACGGAAAGCTCCTCCAGCTCCCTGGAAATCTTATACAGAGAGTCAGGGAGGCATGCTTAATTGGATGAACTGTAGTGTTTGGGATCCATAAAAATCAGAGATACCTTCCATGAATAAAGCCCTTCCCATGAATGAAGTCAGTGGAAGAGAAGTTCTTCGTCGTGGCCTCTGTGCATCAAACATATGGGTTCTGCGCCTGCGCAGTGCCTTTGGCTGGAAGATTGATAGCTAACGGTTTCCTTTTCGGCAGGGACTCTGCTCCCCCTCCCCCCTAGCAGTATATAAGGAGCAGAGTGACCGCCATTTTCAGTCTTTGCGACCGCCGTTCACTGTGCCTTGTGCCACTTCGCTCTCACTAAGATTTATTACTTACCTCGGTCCTCGTTCGAAAATCCTTGCCCTTTTTCTCTTATCAAGTTGTATCCCTTATATTTCTTTAACGTGCACTATTTTTTCTTTCTTCTTATCGTTCCTATAAAATAAATAAATAAATAACAAAAATATTACTTTCCCGCTTTACTATCTTCTTTCTTTTCAAAATTCCTACGATGGCACAACGGGAGGCGTTCCGCAAATGCGGAAAATGCGGCTCGAAAATGCCCGCAGCGGATCCGCATGATCTGTGCCTCCTTTGTTTAGGGGAGGGGCACAGAACCGATAAGTGCGGCCATCGTTTGGCCTTCTCAAAACAGGCGAGAAAAAATAGAGAAAACTGCCTTCGAAAACTCCTGTGTGATCAGGCTCTTCTCCAATCGGACCGCCTGGTGGCTAAGTCTTCCACTGTTGTGGCACCACCCGAAGGCCGTCCAACTTCGGCTGAGTTGCCGCAATGCCCGGCCTCCTCCATTGCTCCGCCTTCACGTTCCTCTCAGGAAGGCGCACATGCTATGGCCGACCAGCCTGTTTCCCTGCCGAGGAAACAAAAGGAGAAGAGAAAGCACAGTGATTCAGATAAACACCCTGTGCATAAGAAGGCCAAGAAGGGCAAGACGAGCAAACCGACTAAAAAGCCGAGGAACCCTGAGCAGGCAAAACAATGCCATTCAGGCTAAGCCTCGTCTTCGATCCCGATACCGGTCTCGGAACCGACTCCCTCGGTACCGACCATCCAGGAGGCTATGAGGGTCACCCCACCGGTTTCACCACGCCGGCTGGCTGTCGAACCCATCATGGAATTGAGGAGGTGTTCCATCTCTGATGGGGAAATAAGAGACTCTCCACCTAGAGCTCGATTACCAACCCCAATGCTGTCGGTACAGATGGATACTGGTATCGCCATCTCCCCTCCAAGAAGCCGTAGGAGCCGTTCCTCGGATGCGAGATCGGATGATTGGTATCACTCTAGATACTCCTCCGTTCCGAGACGAGGAGAGTACTACTCTGCAGCCTGCTTCCCGACCAGGGAACGATCCTCGCCACCAGCCCACCGGGAGTGTTTCAATTCGACTCCCAGAGATGCCCCGAACGCCCCATCTAGAGAACGTGGCAGATCGGAGTCATCGGCTGAATCTCCCTCCAGTGTGCCTCCCTCTTACTGGATGGAATCTGAAGAGTCTGAGGCTGATTCGACCTCACCGGATGCGGCAGTTGCGTCACAGGGACCAGGATCACCTCATGAACCCTATA